TTTCTCGGACATTCAGGCCGATAAATGTTGTTAATACTGTTTATTATAATCTGAGCATTTACTTAAATATGTGCACCTATAAAAAGAACGTATAAACATATATATATATATATATATATATATATATATAAATTTCACCTCAAGCAAGGTAATTATGGCATTAAGATGTTACTGAATGTAAAAGGAAATGAGAAGAAGAAAACCATTATTACAGTGAGAGAACAAAGAAAGAATATGGATAAAAAAAGTCAAAATAAAACGATTGACACACCTCCAAAATTCTGTACATGAAACTGACCACTATTTTACATACAAATAGCATATGTTAAACATTCTATTTTATTATCTACATGAAAATTTTTATCCGGAAATTGCCATATATAAAACAAATCGCCAAAACAGTTCCTCACAATACATTGGGGAAACATGCAGAAATTTAAAACAACGATTCTGTGAACACAAAAGGGTCCTTATACATAACAATTTATAAAATACCCTAATCATGTACGATAATAAATTCAACCATATTTTTAACTAAAAAATAGCACACTTATAAACCCCCCCAAAAAAAAAAAAAAAACAAACAAAAAAAACAAAAGTAATTTACTCAGAATAACAATTCTCGAAAGTGCTGTTATTGTATCTTACCAAAATATAAATCTACGCCATGGTTTCCTGAAAGAATTACTACTTTCCTAAGCCAACATACACGATCACAGATATGTGGAAATGTATAAAAAATTCTTTACATCTACCGTTAACATTTCCACATTTCTGGCGGAGGGAATCCGTCATGGTGCTTTTTCTCACAGACGGAACCCAACTGTTCCTACTATACTCTGTAGTCATTGAAATCAAAAACACAGAGCGCGCATGCGCGAAATTAAAAATATAAAATGGCGACAATCTCCCCATCGCCACCTGTATATATACGATACCCTTCAAAAGTATTGGAACGGCGAGTGCTATTCCTTTATTTTTGTTTTTTACTGAAGACATTTGTGTTTAAGATCAAAATATGAATATGAGACAAAAGGTCAGAATTCCAGCTTTTTATTTCCTGGTATTTACGTTTAGATTTATTAAGCAGTTTAGAACACCTTCAATTTTCGAATGAGCAAATCTATTTGGACATATGATTTACAGGTGTTTCTTGTTGTCGAGGTGTTGGCTTCTTAGATTGATTGTTTAAACATTCAGCAGCTTTAAATGACTACTCTTCGCTTTAGACTTCGTTTTCCCCTGTAAATATTATGTTTGTTTTAAAATGAATAAAACATCATGAAACCAAAAGCTGTCTATGGGTGAAAAGCAAGTCATTTTGAAGCTAGGAAATGAAGGAAAATCGATCATACCCTTTGGACAAACATTGAGTATAGCCAATAAAACAATTTAAAATGTCCCGAAAAAGAAAGAATCTATTGGTCTATTGAGCAAGAAGCGTAGAGCAGACCGGCAAAGGAAAACAGCAACAGTTGATGACAGAAACCTTGTGAAGGCTGTGAAGAAAGTCGCAAAAACATCTGTCACTGACATCACCAATAAACGTCATTGTGCAGGGGTTAAAGTTTTCATAACTCAAGTCTCAAAGAAGAGCAGGACTACAGAGGCCAGGCCAGCAAACACAAGCGTAATCGGAAGGTCAGATTGGAAATTGTAAAGAGTGAGCGACCAAAATTCTTGAAAATAGTTTTATGCACCGAAGAAAGCAAGATTAATCATTACCAAAATGATGGAAATATCAAAATATGGAGAAAAGAAAGATCTACTTATGATCCAAAGCATACAATCTCTTCTATGAAGGTCTTCTATAGGTTTTTTCAATCTGCTAGTACTTTCAATTGTACACACAGTCATCCTTAGGCATGGAAATTATGTGTTTTTAGTAAATCCAGACGAGAGATTAAATGCGAATCGAAATGTTTTTTTTAGAAATATGTTATTGTTAACTGATAAAAACCTTTGCAGCGTGCAGTCGCAACGGTAAGGTTGAATCTTTTAGAAAATTTAAAAGAGTGCGTTTTTTACTAATATTGTAATTTGAGAAAATATTATATTAATCTATTTATTGAACAATTTCGTTCATGCCACATTGACGGATAAACTCCTACAACAACAAAATTCTTGAAAATAATTTTATGCACCGATGAAAGCAAGATTAATCATTACAAAGTGGCGGAAATATCAAAATGTGGAGAAAAGAAAGATCTTCTTATGATCCAAAGCATACAAGCTCTTTTGTGAAGCATAGTGGAGGCATTATGTTGGTTTGGTCTGACAAAGCAGCTTCTGCATCAGGCTCATTCATATTTATTGATGATGTAACTCCTGATGGTTGCAGCAGAATGAATACAGAAGTCTACAGGAATATGTTTTCTTCAAATTTACAGAGAAATGCATCTAAACAAATTGGGAGGATGTTTATCATGTAGCAGGACATTAATCCAAAACATACTGACAACACAACAAAAGACTTCATCAGCGGGAAAAATCGACAGTTTTAGACAGGTCAAGTCAATCACCGAACCATAACCCAATAGAGGATGAATTTCATCTCCTGAAGAGGAGACAGAAGGAGGAACACCCTCCATACCGAAACAAAAGAAAATTTATGGGGGCTTTATTAAACATTTGAAAAAAGCATTACAAATGAAGAATGCAACAGTTTGGTGACGTCATTGGGTCGCAGGCTTGATGCAGTTATTATTAGCAAGAGGTATGCAAAAAAAAAAGAAATGTTATTTACTTTAAGACTATATGTTCCTGTATTTTGGCTCACCTAAAAATGAGGTGATTTGATAGAAAAGGTTGTATGTCATGAACTGTTTAACGCATCTAAATGTAAATACCAGGAAATAAAAGCTGAAAATCTTGAACTATTGCCTCATATTCACATTTTGAACTTAAACACAAATGTCTTCATTGAAAAACAAAATAAATGTACTGGCCTTACCTTTTCCAATAATTAAATATATATATATATATATATATATATATATATATATATATATATATATATATATATAGAGAGAGAGAGAGAGAGAGAGAGAGAGAGAGAAGATCTAAAAGGTCAGCCAATCTAACAGTGATCTCATCTCACAATCCTCACATTTGCTCCGTATTTGTCCTCCTTTGTAAAACACTAGCGGGTCTTAAATGCCACTTAAGATTAGCGCATAAACTTTCATAACTGAATCAATAAGCTGGCAGATCCTCATAAGACGGGAGAGTCCATTATATATATATATATATATATATATATATATATATATAGATAGATAGATAGATAGATAGATAGATAGATAGATAGATAGATGTAAATAATAAATTTAACAGGAAAACATCATAAACAAATTTGACAAGAGCCGCGTTAAATGTAACTGCAGGTATAAAAAAAAAATAAAAACCTTGCCCACTCAAGGGCAAGTGTCCACAAGAACGTGTCGTTTATAATGCGGAAATTAGTGGAAATACCAATAACGAGAATAGCAAAGTGAACATAGGACCTATTTAAGGCAATTTAAAAAAACGCTACTATAATTATATAATTAGCTTCAAGAAAGAGAAGTATACGTCTAGCACTAATTTATCTAAATATATTTCGAGTATTAAACTGCTAGATAGAACGCATCCCTTTCTAAAATGAGAGATACTAAAGACAATGTTAAAAATATAAAGCCAGCAACAAGTTCTGTATATTATGGATGGAGAAGTTAGCCATAGCTTCCTTCAACAAAGCAAAACATTTATTAAACCAGAGGTCAGAAATCCTTAATAGATGCAGGCATAGGAAACCCTGGTTATTGGAATAAAGGTTGTTTTTTTTGTTTGTTTTTTAGTCACCTGTTTTATATTTTTAAACTTATGCTACATTTAAGTTTTAACCATTATTTTATCAATAATTCCTCCTTAGCCAGTTCACCCTGATGATCCTATGTGGTGAAACCTGGGTAGGTAGTACCTGGCTCATTAGAATTCATTATATATATATATATATATATATATATATAGTTTATGAAAAAGTAGGTAATCCGTATGGGTAAACCTAAGGAGGATAAAATCCAGAGAGCTCAATGTAAATTCAGAGCAAATAATTTAAATAAAAACAGACCACTTTAAGGTTCCATGTAATAAATTATTTCACCACAGCCCTTTTAAAAGGCCTGCGGATCATCAGACTTTACTGCCAAACCTATATATATATATTTCGTGGAACTAAATGAAATAATAAAAAAAAAACGAAAGAATATTAATCTACAACCCAGTACAATATATATATATATATATATATATATATATATATATATATGGTGTATCAGATATATATACTTTTACAAACACTGAGAACATGAAGAGAGCTCAATGTATCAAACTGCATAGCAATATGATATACATCAAAGGGGAAGCTCAGTACATCATTATATATATATATATATATATATATATATATATATATATGTAAAGGAGAAAGTACCTTCGGAGAAGTGTCTTTACATCAAAATTATTGTAAGAAATTTCTTGGCTCGACGTTTTTTTCTTTGATTCGTCCAGTGTTTTTTTTTTTTTTTTCATTTCTGTTTTGCTTTCGGCTTATTCTCTTTGATAACACGATAAACGTGAGTATTGGGGTTTATATCGATGTTGTAACAGTTTGTACCCACCATGTTATTGTCCGCTCCATCGATCTTTTAAATTCTTGCAGACTTACGAACACTGTCATTGGGGAAATACGTCGCCAGTCTATTTGAAAAGAGCCAACTGTTTGTCCGACCATTTCACATGATTCGTTTGTTTCCCGCTTTGTCGTTGTTTTTGTTACGTCTGTATCCATTCCAGTTCCGTTTTTGTTTGCTGCTGTTGTTATGGTATCGTGTCCAATTTTAATCACATAATGCCCCACACTTTGATTGCCAGGGAAAAGCAAATGTTCACGGCCAAATGGATGGTTTCGATTTTCGATTAAAAATCAATCAAAAAACAACGTCAGATCGATTCCAGACATGCCATTGATCTTTCTGCTAGGTGGGTTTTTTTTTTTTTTACTTCAATTTTTCCTTTGCGTTTTCCTTTCTTATATACTTAAAAGTATCTAGACATGTTATTTGAAAATATATATTACTTACAGTTCTTTCGCTAGGTTCTTTACTATTCTTTCTTTCTTTCTTTCTTTCTTTCTTTCTTTTTTCCATTCTTTTTCTTTATTTATTTAGGAGTCCAGTATTTTTTCTTCTTTCATTCTCTTTTCCTTTTTTCCTTTCTTTTTTCCTTTTTTCGTTCTTCGTTCTTTTCTTTCTTTCATTCTTTCTTTCCTTACTTGTCCAGTTTTTCTGTCGTTTTTCTTTCTTTCTTTCTTTCTTTCTTTTTTCCATTCTTTTTCTTTATTTATTTAGGAGTCCAGTTTTTTTTCTTCTTTCATTCTCATTTCCTTTTTTCCTTTCTTTTTTTCCTTTTTTCGTTCTTCGTTCTTTCTTTCTTTCTTTCTTTCTTTACTTGTCCAGTTTTTCTGTCGTTTTTCTTTCTTTCTTTCTTTCTTTCTTTCTTTCTTTCTTTCTTTCTTTACCTGTCCAGTCTTTCTTTCGTTTTTCTTTCTTTCATTCTCTTCTTTCTTTCTTTCTTTCTTTCTTTCTTTCTTTCTTTCTTTCTTTCTTTCTTCCTTTCTTTCTTTCTTTCTTTCTTTACTTGTCCAGTCTTTATTTTACTTTCTTTCTTTCATCCACTTTATACCATTTTTCTTCCTTTCTTTCTCTACTTCTTTTAATCTTCCATTAGTTTGTTTCATCTTTCTTTCTTTCTGGTATCCTTTTTTTTTCTTTCTTTTATTGAATTACTGTTATCACAATCCCTCACTCTTTCTTCCTTTCGTTATTTATTTATTTAGTAGTCCAGGCTTGTTTTTTTTTCTCTCGCCCGTTGTTTTTTCATTCATTCATGCACTCTTTCTTTCTTTCGTTGTACCACCAGTCTTTCGTTCTACTTTTCTTTCTTTCTTTCTTTCTTTCTTTCTTTCTTTCTTTCTTTCTTTCTTTCTTTGTCCGGTCCAACTTTTCTTTCTTTCTATCTTTCAAACTTCCTGCTCATGAGGACAAACTACATCCGCGTTCTGGGCAAGACGATAAACTACGTCTGGCAGCAAGGTCTCTGATCAGCAGATTTTGAGGAGCTTGGAACCACCTCTTAATTGCTGGTATCGCCAGGTCCACCCTAACCCTGGGTGGTAGCATCTGTCAAGGTCCCAACTATGGGTAAATAGTTTACCCCGAAACTGGAGTCAAAGCACTGTGAAAGTTTAAAATATTTTTTAATACCACAAATGCTTTTCGTAAAAAATATTACCAGCAATACACTTTTGAAAAAATATGAACAGCAATACATTTTGTCGGTGTTAAATAACCCGTCGAAGATCTTACCTATTAATCTGTAATCAATTCGGTAATCATCACGTAATTATTATAGATGGCCTCGTGCCAGACTCAACTCAACGGGAAACTGTGACAAATTGTTCCGTAAATTCAATTTCTTTAGTGAATAAATTCCTTATTAGATGAGCTCTCCATCTGTCATTGTGTCGAAATTGATTTAGATATATAATTTTAATCTGAGAAAATCCGTAAGGAGAAAATCATGTTTGATCTAGCGAAACAGTATTGTTTTTTTTTTACTACTTAGCTTTTGGAAGGCATCTTTTGCGATTCCAATGGGACTTCAGATACCTACGTCATATACTTACAAGTTAACCATCCAAAATAGATATAATTCGGCAGGTATGACGCATGATAATGAAAAATATGTTGAATCGTATACATCAGCAATAAACTATAAAGTAAAAACCTTCTAAGTGTTTACAACGCTTACAATCATGAGATTCGAGATTCGAGAATTTGAATTATAAGGAAGTCATTAGATTATCTACACAGTAAGTAAATACAGACTTGTTTTTAGTCTTTTTAATCATAGGAAAGGCATTAAATCATATATTAAATTGAGTTTAATGTTCTCTTGCTTTTCAAGCTTTATTTAAAAGTTCGAAGAAATTAAATCCAAAAACCGTTTAATCATCAAACTATATCCGGTCATATTCTATTCTCTGTTGTAATCATTATGCCAGGAGGTCAATTCGGTGCATACAAGATTTGGCTGGCTTATAGACAGCTTTAACCTTATCTTCATTGCTGGTCCTCTGCCCGTGTAGGAACGGAACAAGGGCTGGAAAAGGTGATAAGCTGACGGCACAAAGTCTAGACTGTAGGTAAGTTAAGGTATAGGTACCTCCAATAATTCGCTAAAAAACCACTATAGCATAATTGATAAAAGATCCCAAACTTAATAAAAACAAAGTTTCATCATTAAAATGTTTATGTTATTATTAAGAGGAAAGAACAAAGTATTTTAAATATTTTTTTTTAATTTTCCCTCTTTCTGACACGTTCTAAATTTGGGTCAAAAATCTCTTTTTTTTAACTTTGTAATACTTGTGATCATCGCCATTTTAGTATAGCAGTTTCAGGGGAAAACCCATTAATTTGGAAATTCTTGCAAAAATCAAATAATTGTCTAATTTTCATGAAACTTTTAGGACTTATTCAAAAATGAATAATTTTATTTTTGAAATTTTTATTTTTAGAAAATATTTTTTTTTTTACATCTGTTACCACCGCATAAATTAATTTTATGAAATTTTCTAGAATTTCCAAGAGGACGCAAATAGTTTTATATTAATTATAAGCAGCACTCCTTGGAGAAATTAAGTCATCAATTTCTTTTTTCACAACTACTGCCAACTTTTTAAAAATCTGTTCCAAATCGTAAAATAAAAACTGCAATAAGCTAACTAATTATCACATTAGAGAGGCTTTTATTTGCTTTTATAAATAATATACATTAAGGACATTATTATCTGAAGAAAGAAATTCGATGAATAAAGACTTTTTACAAGAATTGTTTGCATTTTCCTTTTATTTGTTTTTTTTAATTTAAAAAAAAAAATTCTTTACTTTAAAAAAAAAAATTAAATTCTTTCATGCAGAGTTCTTAAGGTTTTAAGTGAAGACTATAAGTTTCTTAAGGTTTTAAGTGAAGACTATATTTACTAATCAATAATTAAAACCTAAATACAAATAATATTACCAAAACTTTTTGCCATAATTAAAAATATTTTTTGCGTCAAAATATTGTATTTTTTTTAGTATGATATCTCATTAATGACAGCATGGTGGCTTAAAAGGTAAGGTGTTTGAAAGCTTGTCTCCTTCTTGGGGAAAGCCCCTTGCCATGTAAAGGTCTTATCCCACTCTCAGCTATTAAATTAAAAATTAAATCGAGAGGATAAAATTATCTCATTTATCAATTTAAGCAATTAGTAACACAGTGAGATATTTTAATTATTAATATAATAATAATTTTTTAGTTATTATCACAGTTATTAAATTAAAAATGTGATAACTTAATGTAATATTAATAATTAATAAAATCATTTATCGTTATCTTAGCTATTAAAATATGAAAGAGATAGAGGTGACTCAATAATGTAAGAAATTTTTGTGGTATTTTAAATTATTATTATAAGAAACAAAAAAAAAACTGTTATGTCACTTTCGATGTACCGTACTAAACCTGGCAACACATTCAGCCATCAAGGTATCGATGGAGACGTGAAAATAACAAGACCCCAAGATCAAGAAATGTTTGTCTAGAAAATGTTATGCTATAAGTAAGTGATTTTTGTTTCAGAACAGATTAATTTAACTTTAAATATTATAATTTTACGAAAGTAACGTTTTAGAAATGTATTTCTTATTTTAGCGGGATTTTCAAAATCGAAAAATAAGTTCGTTTATATTTCTCTAAAGAAAGTTAAAAATGGCTGTTTCGGTTGATTTCTCGGAAGCATCAACTAAAAATCATTCAAATTTCTATTTGAAATATCCACGGTATTTTTTTTCTGGAATTAGAAAATTTAATCATTTAGCTTTCAATTGAAGCGGTTGGAAAGCATCGAAAAGGATTTTTCTTTTATGAAAAATACATTTAAAACTTAGGTATACGAATTTTTTTGAAGGTAACTTGTTACGGTAGCTACATTATCTACTGTTCAAACCGCCCTTGTTTGACAATAGGTTTCGAAGCTTGACCGGGATGAAACCACTGATTTGTCTTATTAGGATTACGAAAATAGATCCATTTTTATCGGCAGTTATAAGTCGATACAAAAAAAATGAATATTTTGAGGATTTACCAGTAGTTGTTTTCAAATGTTCACATATCGTAGAGCGTGGTCATTAATCACTTCATGAGGAACTCCTTGACGTTGTCTGTTGACAAGGCCAGGCTTATGCAAGTGTTGATTGATGATCCTTTGTAATGGACCAAGTTCTGTCAACAATTTACGTGCGCTTGTATCTTGGCTGTTGTTTAACTCTTTTCAAGCAAGGCCTCATCTTCCACAAATGAACGTCTCCATGGCCTTGGTTTGTCTTCGAGGTTGATATCTCCTCCCTTCAATCATCTGAACTAGTTTTCTGCTACACGTTTATTGAGAATTCTTGGGTCTTCCACTTCATTAATTTCTTTTGCCACTTCGCTTTCACTAAGTACTTTTTTTTTCCAGAGGTTACGTAAAATGGCTTTAATTGCGTTTTTTTTCACTACTTATTATCAAAGCTGTAAAATAAAGAATAAACAATACAGTTTTATATGAAAGTAAAAAGTAAACAATTCGGAAACAATTGTACAAGATGTATAAAATTAATTATACAACATGGTGTTAAAAGTTGCCATAAATCATCAGTGAAAATCCGAAAAAAATCTATTTTACTCTATCTATATGTAGATATCTATAATTCTCAAAATGTGTGTGTGTGTGTATGTAAGTCTGTGTGTGTGATTAGATGTTGTTTAAGCGTTTCCACAGATTTCATCCGATTTCAATGAAATTTTTTTTTGGTTGATAAATAATTCTTCAGTGCCGTTTTTCAGTCTAAATTGGCTGGACAAAATTACAAACCTGAAGGTGAAAATTCGAAAAAAACGATTTTTTTACACTTTGCGCAAAAATCAAAGGCAAAAAACAATGTACAAACAATTTAGAGAGTTGAAATCTAAAGCTAAAGATTATTAGAATTATAAAAAAAATTATGCTCTAAATAAAAATTATCGTATATTATTATTATTATGCCGGTCCATGGAAGAGGTCCATTCCTTGCAGCATTGAATACAAAAACGGACTTTTCAGGGTCACCCCCATTCAAATTGTTACCCACCCCCATTTGGGGATGTGACTCAGTTGGACCCAATTGTTGTTACTAATGTTGATTTTCAGGTCGGCTGACTTTAAACGTAAACTGCTCCAACTGAACGCCAAATTTCCCAGTAATGGAACACCTCGTTGAAGACGGATTATACTCTTAGTTCTAAATATAATTTTCATTATGGAGTTGGATAGTGCGCACTATATATAAATGAATACAGACCAATATTTTTATTCTATTCTACTTAGAGTATTAATTATTTGGAACGTATCAGACGATATAAGGAACATTTTATTCATTTCTATGTAGAACTTTAATTATAGGAATCACGTTACATCCTAGTAGATTAGTATCCATAGACTGTGTGTGTGTACTACTAAAAATTAAACAGAACAAATGATATATTGTACTAAGTTGAAATAATCAATTTAAAATCTATCAAAATGAATTCCAATGACAATATTGATGCAGAAGATAATGTTTAATAATGATAAGAATCCAATGTCCCTATTCGACTTACGATGATATTTCTGACAACAATGGGGTGGGGGATGATGATAACGGCTGGAATCGCTTGATAATTCGTTGACGTGATCTGAGATTATCTGAGGCTTTGATCATCCTCTTCGTATGAGTCCATTTTGGATTAGACAGACAACATCACAGGTGTCGCACTGAGAAGATAATCCCAGGCACCAGAGGACTTGTGTCCCAGACTTTAATCTACATTCAACAAGACAGAGTTAAAAAAAAAAATACAGCGTTGGCTTAAGCTTTTAAAACCCCTGTGAGTGAGTAAAAGACAGAAAGGAAAAAACAAGAAATAAAGAAAAGAAAGGTAGAACGTGTGTGCACGATTGTGAGTGTGTATGTATCTGTATGTCTGTGTGTGTGTGTGTGTGTGTGTGTGTGTGTGTGTGTGTGTGTGTGTGTGTTAGAGAGAGAGAGAAAGAGAGAGAAAGTAGTTGGGAGAAACTGGATTTATTTTTTGGATTATTAAAAAAGACACAGTGGGGTACAATATTGACAGCTTTGATGTTACAGAGAAAGAGGGAGAGAGGGGTGGGGAGGAAGAAAAAGTTTATGGTAGCCCATTAAGTTTCGATATACATATGATGTGGAGCAGTTGTTTGTAATGAGATAGAAATATTATTTCGCATATTTGTTTTTATTTTTCCTGCTTATAATATCTATCTATCTATCTATCTATTGGGTGTCCCAAAATGATGTATACACACTTTAAATATTAATAGTTAATAATACATTACCTTGTGATGGGAGAAATGTGATGCGATGATGCTATGAAAATTTGTAATGAGGTAGAAATATTATTTCGCATATTTGTTTTTATTTTTCCTGCTTATAATATCTATCTATCTATCTATCTATCTATCTATCTATCTATATATATATATATATATATATATGGTGTCCCAAAATGATGTATACACACTTTAAATATTAATAGTTAATAATACATGACCTTGTGATGGGAGAAATGTCATGCTATGATGCTAAAACAGATGGATTGGAAGAAGAGAGACTGTTAAATACCCACCTAGATCAGCAGATTCGTCACCCTTGGATTTCTTTCTTTTAGGAGGGGTTCTAAAAGACAATGTTTACACCAGGAAACCTGAAACAATTGCTGAAATGAGACTAGCAATTGAAGGTTATCGTTACCAGTAGCATGTTACAAACGCACTTCTTGATTTATCTTCCGCTTGGCTTATTAAACAGTAAAACCAATACTAATAATAATAACGATAATAATAATAATGATAATCATAATACAAATAATAATAACAATAATAATGAGGCCATAGATTCCCAAGTTGGCATCTACGCGGACGACACTACAATTTACTCCTGCCTCAAAAACAAATCTAGTGTCGCTGACAAAACTAACTTGGCCGTGCGTCTTGAAATAGACTTCCAATCGGTTGTTAATTGGGGCAAGAATTGGCTGGTCAACTTTAACGCCTCAAAAAACTAAACTACTCTCTATTAATCACCATAGAGATCCTTCCCTGCCCCCCTATTAGAATGTCTGATAGTCAACTTCTTGAGAGCAACTCCCTGCGTCTGATCGGTCTCACGTTGACGGCTGACCTGAGATGGAATAAATACATTGAGTCAATTGCTTCGTCCACCGCGGGGAAAGTTGGCTCTCTGTGCCGCGCAAGAAAATTTTTCTCCGCGGAATCGATACTTCAAATATACAAATCAACCATTCGCCCTTGCATGGGGTATTGCTGCCATACATGGTCTGGTGCAAACTTCTGTTTACCTCGGAGTTCTTGACAAGATCCAGAGGCGGATATGTAATATAATTGGCCCTGATCTGGCATCTCGTCTGAAGTCGCTCTCTCAGAGACGCACCGTCGCCTCTCCCTGTCTTTTTTACAAATACTTTCATGGTAATTGCTCCGATGAGCTGCTTTCACTGGTTCCCAGACTTCATGAATTCAAGCGCCCTACGAGGCTGGCATCCCTCTCCCACCCTTAAACTGTAGAAACTTTTAAATGTAGCCGTCTCTTCTACTCCAATAGCTTCATATCTCGCACCTCTCGCCTGTGGAACACCTTTCCCTATTACTGTTTCCCTGAGAGCTATAATCTCCAACTATTCAAATGTAATGTCAATCGACATCTCCAGTTACCTTGATCTACCCACTATCCCTCTCCTCATCCTTTCTTCTATCTCTCGTATCTGCTCTCGCTCCAAATCTTCTGCAAGCCCCTGCATCCTAGTGGCTTCTCGCCTTGCTCGGGGCGTAATGCTTAAAAATATATATACATATTTACGAAAATAACTGTAAGAATATTATTAATAATAACGATGATGATAATAAAATATACAAATCGGGACGATAGAGAATGTCGATACTTACACTGGACAACGCGCAACAACTTTAGAAAAGATGTTAACAATCACTGATATTAACATCACCCAGCGCCGGTTACAGAAAGAGAAGACATTTTATAGGATTACATCATTTTTACAGACATGGAAATTGAAGCAAATAGGCCGGACATAATTGTCAAAAATTGAAAAGAAAAAAAAAACCTTCCTACTAATTGATATGGCTTGCCCAGCGGACTGTAACATAAAAATCAAGGAATTTGAAAAACTAACGAAGTATAAAGACCCGTAAATCGAAATAGAATAAATGTAGTAATTGAAAATAAGAACAGTAATAATCATAGTAGGTGCGCTTGGAATGATAAAAAAGGAACACAACAACACATTTAAAAATTCATGGAATTCCCAGTGTAAGAGAAATACAAAAAACTTGTTTTGATAAGTACAGCCCACACATTAAGAAGAACTTTGTCCATGTTACGTTAGTGATGCTATGGGAGTTAGAAAAACAAATCATGAAATGTAGCCATAACAACACACCAATACCTGCGTTAGGTCATCCCCCAGACTTGGTAGGTAGTGTGACTATAGCAGAAATCGAAATATAATGATAATGATAATAATAATAATTAAAACTACAGCAAAAATAATAGGGGAAATAATAATCAGTATAATAACTACAATAATAATAATAATAATAATAATAATAATAGTAATAATAATGAGAATAATAATAAATTATAAACAATTATTTTCAGAATATTTTTTTATTTATTTTAGAGACCGCAAAGACAAAATGTGCCTCCTTGTTGACAAGACAGTCTCTTTAGACTACAAAGAATCTTTGTAGATCTTCAAGACACAATCAAAATACAAATCTCAAAAATGTGTCGCATGAGGACATTAACAATTCCAGTTGTATTAGGAGCACTCGGATTGACTGGAAAAGATTCCGTTAGATTCATTGAAGGAGTTTTTGGTAGGCCAAGTCTTAAAGGAATGCAAAAAATGTACTCACAAGTACAGCCCACAACTTACGAAGGGTTTTATTTATATAAAATATGTGTGATTTTTTTTTTCAAATCTACTCAGTAAAAATGTCATGATGCCATTTCTGACCGTAGCTCTCTGTCTGGGACTCGGAAAGAAATGAGTATACACCAGAAACCAAATCGATGTATAATAATAATAATAATAATAATAATAATAATAATAATAATAATAATAAAAGTAAAAACTGAGCAATGTAAAAATTGACCAAAATCTAATAAGCAAAATTGATTTCAAGAGCCAGACTGCACTTCCCAATTGAAGCAAAGATGCTGGAATGATAATGGTAAATAAAAGAAAAGAGCATGGCTGATCGGAGACGTAGAAGCGATAGTGGGCAAATACTTGAGCATGAAGAAGAATAAATAATGCCTGCACTTCACCCGGGAGCTCAAAGAGAGATATTAGAAATGAACATAAAGAATCGCACGGTGCAATAGTCGGTGAATTCGAATTAAATCCCAGTCGTTACAGTGGAATCGGGATGACTTGCAAGATCTGAGGTAGTTCTGAAACAATTGCGGGATGCTTGTATGTTTGGGTAAATATTTAGTCACCATTATGTTGAGCTCATCATCACTTTGGAGAATAAATATTTAGAGGCTCCTGGAAAATTTATCTAACAAACATTATTGGTGGACTTAATGCGAGTCCAATTAAAAATGAGTAACATAAAATACTAAATATATCACAAATGGAATGACATGCGACAAATAGAAAAAACAAAACATGAAACTAGATTTAATAACAATATGATTGATTGTAAAAGAGACTAGGGAGGGAAATGCATGCATTCTTATAGGATTAATGAGCGCCAATGGAGATATTTTTTAGATAAGTCAATGCAATACTATAAAAATGTGTGGTTTGACTGGGAACAAGTAATGATAACGAATAAAGTTGCTAGAAATTTCAAAACCCCAGTGATATAATAATAATAATAATAATAATAATAATAATAATAATAATAATGGCAGCCACTGCAAACTCCAGTGTATCATTGAATATCTTAAATAAAAACTATTAAAATAGAAGGACTTTGAAATAGAAATCTCAAAAATGTAGCACATGAGGACATTTCAATGTTAGTTGTATATGGAGCACTCGGATTGATTGGAAAATATTCCAATAGACTCATTCAAGGGATTCCTGGAAGGCCATGCTTTAATGAAATACAAAAATTTGTTCTCACGAGTAAAGCCCAAACCTTATGAAGGACTTTATCTATGTAATCTCTGTATATATATATATATATATATATATAGATAGATACACCTAGTGAGCCAGACAAACCTACCTAGGTTTCACCTAAACGGATCGTCAGGGAAAGTATGGCTCGAAACGAGTCTAGTTATCTATATTTATATATATATATATATATATATATATATATATATATATATATATATATTTCTTTTCGTTTTTTCAAAATTGCAATTTCTGAACTTAGGTCTCTTGTCGGGACCCGAAATTAATAAGTATACACCAGACATCAAAGGAAATAAAAAAATAATAATAGTGGAAGTACAAAAAGCATCTAGAGGACAAACCCATCCAGGTATCGTTCTATGAAAGAAATCTATGTTACTGAACTGGATATTAATCTTATCTCATCTTAATCCATGAATACAAAATATATAGACGTGGACACCTCCCATTAATAAGGACCAGAATTCAGAAGAGACATGCCGAGAGTAAAATGTCATTATTATCCCGCCGTCAAAGGAAACTCGTATATTTGTGCCAGCGCTAAAGATGGTAAGAAAATGGTCAGTTCCTTGTAACGCTCAAGAAAAGTCCTGCTACCATTCTCTGTCTTTTCAAGAGTCAAATCAGATCAAAATAGAGACTTGCTGTCATATGTGGGCCGTCGCCGCCCAGTCGTCCCTGTCTGGACTTGACAGTTCAAAAGTATTTACGTTACCCTGTGGATCCTAATTCGTTTTCCACCGTGTAGCCCGTTATTCCGCAGACAAAATCCTGCTAGATTCCCACTTCCCTATATCTATTAATATGGCAACTTTTCTCAAAAGTTGCATTCTTTACGCTTACCAGTTCAGACATTCACAGATAAGATCCACCTTGCCATGAGAGCGGCGGCAAATCATTATCATTTTCGATTGGTACGAAGTAAGTTTCATTCAGACAGCCTCATCTCCAGAACTATTAATTTGTGGAAGGAACTCCTGCGCGGATGCTTCTGCGACCACTACAATCTTGGAGTCCATAGTCAACCATTATCTATCTTAAATATTTTCATAATATGCGCTTTTTATTTCTTCCTTACACCCACTGTACAACAATTTCATTGAGGAACTGTTTACATTCATTGCGCCTCCAGGTTTGACTTGGGTGAACCAAAATAATAAAAAGACGTTGTCTTTATCTTATTTTGCTTATTGTTTAGTACAGTTCTTTACGGGATTATTACTCGAGACCAAGCATGATGGAAAATAGTAAATATATGCGTTCAATTTACACACACTTACGACATTTACAGTTTCTTTATATTGATAATTCTCTCCTTAGTAAATGAAGAGTTCCAGAAAGTGCACTCTATCGATATAATACTAAGTCTTCGTCTATCTATCTTTCTCAGTCTGGCCATATCTATCTATCTATCTATCTATCTATCTATCTATCTATCTATCTATCTAAGGGCAATCGATCGATATAATACTAATTTTTTTCGTCTATATGTCTATCTGTCTATCTCAGTCTGGCCATATCTATCTATCTATCTATCTATCTATCTATCTATCTATCTATCTATCTAAGTCTCTTGTAATTATCTATCTATCTATCTATCTATCTATCTATCTATCTATCTATCTAAGTCTCTTGTAGTTATCTATCTATCTATCTATCTATCTATCTATCAATCTATCTAAGTCTCTTGTAGTTATCTATCTATCTATCTATCTATCTATCTATCTATCTATCTATCTAAGTCTCTTGTAATTATCTATCTATCTATCTATCTATCTATCTAAGTCTCTTGTAATTATCTATCTATCTATCTATCTATCTATCTATCTATCTGTCTAAGTCTCTTGTAGTTATCTATCTATCCATCTATCTATCTAAGGGCAATCTATCGATATAATACTAATTTCTTTCGTCTATATGTCGATCTCAGTCTGGCCATATCTATCTATCTATCTATCTATCTATCTATCTATCTATCTATCTATCTAAGTCTCTTGTAAATATCTATCTATCTATCTATCTATCTATCTATCTATCTATCTATCTAAGTCTCTTGTAATTATCTATCTATCTATCTATCTATCTATCTATCTATCTATCTATCTATCTAAGGGCAATCTATCGATATAATACTATTTTTTTCGTCTATATGTCTATCTGTCTATCGCAGTCTGGCCATATCTATCTATCTATCTATCTATCTATCTATCTATCTATCTAAGTATCTTGTAATTATCTATCTATCTATCTATCTATCTATCTATCTAAGGGCAATCTATCGATATAATACTAATTTCATTCGTCTATATGTCTATCTGTCTATCTCAGTCTGGCCATATCTATCTATCTATCTATCTATCTATCTATCTATCTATATAATACAAAAAGTCTGTGAATCGTCGTACATCAACCGTCTGGCGCATTATGATTTAAGTTTCTTTTCACCTCTCTCTCTCTCTATCTCTCTCTTTCTATCTCTTTCCTTCCACGTATCTCTCTTTCCGCCTCTCTCTTTTCCCTCATCTCTCTCTTTCTGCTGGTCTCTCTTTCCACCTTTCTCTTTCCACCTCTCTTTCTCTATGTCTCTCTCTCATTCTACCGGTTTCACTTTTCACTCCTCTCTTTCAACCTCTTTCTTTTTCTCACTCTCTCTTTCAATCTCTCTCTTTCTACCGCTTTCTCTTTCCACCTCTCTCTTTCCATCTCTCTCTTTCCACCACTCTCTTTCCACTTCTCTGTCTCTCTCACTCTTTCCACCTCTCTGTGATGCCGTGCTTACTTATTTACATTTCAACTTTCTTTAAACAAATAATATTTTGAATATTTAAAAATATTTTTTCCATATTTAAAAAAAATATTTTCAAGCGAATATGATATAAAATATTTTTGTCATATCAAAAAATATTTTCAAGTTAATCTGATTTTAAAAATATTTTAAGTGAATAAGATTTAAAAATACGAGCTGTTCATACAGTAAGTATTTTTATTTCAACTCATTCCAGGCATTTTTTAATGTTGAAATCACCTTCTATGTTTTATAAACTGAACAGTCAGTGACCCAACGGGTTATGGGTAGTTTAGTTGAAAAAATAAATCTCTTATAAACAGGTCTTAACAGAGAACTCTGTTTGTCCCGTGTGGACTAAATTCTTCAAGTCTTCTGTACTCATTTTGTGTCTAAGGAATTTCTTATGTCATTTCCTAATTCTAAGTATGAATGTTCGTTCTGTTATCGTTTTATTTAAGAATTCTTTGTCGCTTAATCGCTACGTCAATCGAATTTTCAGTTTCCTTCTGTCGAAACTTGTTTCTGTTGCCTCTATTTTTCCTCGTCCTTGGGGAGATTGTCCAATATTCACTGCATATAAGAGAAGACATGACACAGCACTCTTTTCTTTGTTACTAAAGAAATTTTCCGGTTTAGCGTTTGGCTTAGCGTCTCTTTCGCTAGTTTGAATTTTGTTTACCACATTTCCAAGGGCATGTACTACAACTAGAACTGACGCGTAATAGCTGATATCTGATATCTAATATCTGGTATCTGCTATGGAATATCAGATATCTAATATCTTATATCTGATATCTGATATCTAATATATGATATCTAATATCTGATATCTGCTATGGAATATCAGATATCTAATATCTGATATATGATATCTAATATATGATACCTAATATCTGATATCTGATACCTAATATCTGATATCTAATATCTAATATCTGATATCTGCTATGGAATATCAGATATCTAATATATGATATCTGATATCTAATATATGATATCTGATATTTAATATATGATATCTGATACCTATATCTGATATGTAGTATCTGGTATCTGATATCTTATATCTGATATCTGATATCTAATATCTGTTATCCAATATCTGATATCTGATATCTAATATCCGATTTCTAGTATCTGATATCTGATATCTAATATCTGATATCTAATATTTGATATCTAATATCTGATATCTAATATCTCGTATCTGATATCTAATGTCTGATATCTAATATCTGATTTCTAATATCTAATATCTAATATCTGATATCTGATATCTAATATCTGATATCTTACTTCTTAACTTTCTCAATTACAGTACCCTACCATAACCCGTAGAATTTGAGGTTCCAACGCCGTCTTCCTTGTGGACATTAATGACGGCTTCCTTCAGTTCCATTCTCATATTGAACGATTTTATTTGAGGAAAGAAATAGCTTGTAGATTTAACTGACTCCGAAAGGAAACTAATATATTTTAGACATCTTAGACAATTACGTTTATGTATAAACTTCTCAGAATTAACCTGTAGAAAAAGACAATACGTATTAAGGTAAAAGACAATAGAAAAATTGTAGTTTTAGCCGCCTCCTCTCGACTAATGTGAAGTTTCCCAAGAGAAAAAAACAAAATGAATTTATTGAAACAAAGTATCTATAAAATGAAATATTTGTCATAGGTTTTCTAAACCCCCCCCCGAGAGTATTATGGTATATGGAGAATTGATTGGCGATAGACGAGTTTTTGTGATGAATGTGTCAACTGTAACGAATGAATAGGTCGTGAATCAGATTAGCTAGGTATACGATAGTAAGTGACGACCAGCCTCAACTGTATTCCCCCATTTTCGGCCTTGTGCCACAATTGTGTATTTTACGCAATAAATCTTAACAAAATTTCTATGAACAACAAACAAAAATGTCGTTAGCAACTAGAAGAATTTAGAAACGCTATTGTATATTCATAGAGTAAAGTAAAATATTAAATCAATCATTTATGTTTGAAAAGAATATTTTCACGTTTAGAATTATTATTTGTATTGTGATGCTATTCCTGACAATCATTACTCTTCCAAGCCAACGTACACAACAAATATATGAAGAAATCAAAATAAAACGGTTGTATCAACAATTCAAGGTATTTACTCTATCTCCCCACTAAGACGAGTTGTGACACAAGGTCATTTTTAAGATGGGGATCCGAGTGAGTACACCCTGCGCTAGGAACAAAAATTGAAGGCAGCCCTCCACCCCCAACAGTCGGTTGCGCAGTTCTCAGTGCGAGCACCGATCACTCTCTCTGTTGCAATGGAAGGGCACGGCCTCGGGTAGCTTTTCCCAAGGGCTGGGCACCTCTCAGTATAATTTGTTTCAGCTGCGACTCTGTCCTTTGACGGTGGTTTTCCATGAATGCACAGACAGAGACACAACTGAGAGATGTTAAATAGAGTGTTACAAACTACGCAAGAGAGAAATTTAAACACTGTTTGCATAGATAATGATTTTATGTTTCTATACGTGAAACTAATCTCTTCAAACATAAAGAAATTGATGTAATTTTTCAGTTGACGATATGAATATACAATAGCGTTTCTGTTATGGGGAAACACACCTATTCTATAGTTAATAGACTCTCCCACCTAATATAAGTAGAAATAATAAAAGAAACGAGGGTCAGTCAGTCGATGTCGGATGACCGGCTGAACGGTTGAACTCTCTGCCTTCGTTCGGGGAGGAACCCGAACGAGGCTATGCCGAAGGGCGGAGTTTCGTTCGGGGAGGTAAACCGACCCTGAACCCGTTTATACGGGTTCAAAGGGTATATTTTTGGCTGAGACCACGGGCTCGGAGATCCCACGTTAAACCGGTCTTGTGCCACATGATACCCTCGTGAGGGGTGGGGTGACTGAATATCGTGAGTCAGTAGTTCGACAGTCGATGTCGGACGACCGGCTGAACGGTTGAACGTTCTTCCTTCGGGCGGGGAGGAACCCGAACGAGGCTATGTCGAAGGGCGGGGTCTCGTTCGGGGAGGTAAACCGACCCTGAACCCGTTTATACAGGTTCAAGTGGTATACTTTTGGCCGAGACCACGGGCTCGGAGATCCCATGTTAAACCGTCCTTGTGCCACATGATACCCTCGTGGGGTGGGTGACTAAATACTAGTCGATGTCAGACGACAGTCGAACTCTCTGCCTTCGGGCAGAGAGTAACCCGGACGAGGTTATGCCGAAAGGCAGAGTTTCGTCCGGGGAGGTAGACAGACCCAATCCCGTTTATGCGGGGTCTACGGGGACTTTTTGGCAGAGCCTCCGGGCTCGGGAACCCCATATTAAATTCGGCCTTGTGCCACATGTCACTGCGTGGGGCAGTTACTAAATAGCGTCGATGTCGGACGACGGAAGTCAGCACTTAGTCGAATACGAAAGTAGTCAGCAACCACAACAAGATTACTCTGCGTTATACTTATTATACCAAGTTCCAAACGTTTTGTACGTCGAACCTATTTTAGGACCAACTTAGTACCAATACATGCCTCCACTGTTAAATAACTCCACGACAGTTTCTGAATTCTTCTAATTGCTAACGACATTTTCAAAGTTAGTTTGCTTGTCTCCGTTGGTAGTTGCATAATTAAAAGAAAAACTTGTAGTTCTAACGAATGATGTATTTCATGGAAATATTGCAGCTAGCTTTTGCTAGCCTTGGTCCCTCTTTAATTTGAGTAAAACAATGCAGAGAAACGTTTAAGAATTCAAATTAAGTATTGACCAAGGTTAACTGCTGGTCGAAATATTTCCATAAAATAAATCAATGGCAACAATTTACAATTTACTCCAACGTATATATATATATATATATATATATATATATATATATATATATATATATATATATATATAATCAGTTCCAGACAGGATCATAATACCACTAGGACGTAATGAGAGAAGACTTTAGTTGGATAGTTGGAAACAGAAACCCAATCTTAAACATTTGATATATCTTAATTGAAAGAAAAACTTGTAGTTCCAACGAATGATGTATTTAATGGAAATACTTCAGCTAGCTGTTGCTAGCCTTGGTCACTCCTTTAATTTGAGTAAAACAAAGCAAAAAGAACGAAAAACGCTTAAGAATTCAAATTAAGTATTGACCAGTAACTGCTGGTCGAAATATTTCCATAAAATAAATCATTGGCAACAATTTACAATTTACCCAACGTATATATATATATATATATATATATATATATATATATATATATATATATATGTAATCAGTTCACTCCAGACAGGATCATAATACCATTAGGACTTAATGAGAGAAGACTTTAGTTGGATAGTTGGAAACAGAAACCCAATCTTAAACATGGGATATATCTTAATTGAAAGAACGCTTAAGAATTCAAGTCAATGAAAAAAACTTGATGGCGTTTTTTTTAGCGAGGCCCATCTTGTTGAAATATTTCCATGAAATAAATCATTCGTTGGAACTAATGGTTTTTCTTTTAAGGAATGAACAAAAAAACAAACTAAAATATCAAAACAAACAAATTAAAGATACCTGATGTTAGTTTAACCCGTCCAGCCCTCAAAAAAGAGAGGCCGCTGTATTCTACCCTACGACAGAATAAAGAGGATCTCTTACTAAGCAAGAGGGAAAGAAATAAATATATACGGACATGGGGAATAAAAAAATAAACTGACACAGTCAAGATGAAAGGAGGCCAAAAAAAAAAAAATCCCTGGGAGGTTGGGAATCTCAACTTGGATTATAACCCAAGCTGTAGCCGGGAAAAAGACGCGAACGAAACTTACTAACATTAACTAGATACACAAATCTTGACTATCCTGAATAGAGGAGGGCTCCACGGGAAACCAACCCGATGTGAATTAGTTAGACATAAAAGAGAAAATCAAGGCTATCCCCGTTCACACGAACAAATCTTGCCTCAGTCACCCACCTTTCGCTAAATTCTGTCAAAACCATACGTTTTCTATCAGTTCTAATCTTCAT